CCGCGCCCTGACGCCCGTCGGTCCGGCCGGTCTGTCGGCCGAGGTGAGCGCAGGGAGAGCCGGGCCGCGTCCTCCCGGGGCGGCCGCCATGCCCGCGGCGCGGTGGGTTGGAAGGCGGTTGGGGGAATAGTTAAAATCCTCCAGATCAGGTTCATTGCCTTGATCAGAGCAAGTCCAGGTCTCGGACCTTAACTTTTTCTCCCGCATCCGGGGGCGTGTCACGGTGAGGTGTTGGGCTGCTAGAGGGAAGGGTGGCGGTTTGAGCCCTGCAGCGGGAGGAGGAGGCGGCTGCCGGCTCCGCCGGGATCCCAGCCCAGGGCTCCCCGGGCGCGCTAGTGCCTCGTCTCCCAGCGTCGCGCAGCGCAACTCCGCAGCCCCACAGACTCCCGCAGCGCCGCAGCCTCGCAGCCCTGCAGCCTTTGCAGCGTGCAGCAGGGTTTGCACTTGACCAGGCTTCTCTGGGATCCTGGATCTCTCTCCCTTCTCCTCCCAGTCCCGCTCGCGTGGGGCTGCCATGGCTGGTTCTTTGACGTGGAGAGAATCTCTGGTCGGCAGGCAGTGCTGCTTCTGTTTAAGGCCATTTTCTGCTATCGGGTTAATTAAGGATTGACCGAGCAAAGAAGGCAATGCACCTTAACCAGTGCTATTGAATATCTTACTAGGATAACTTTTTCCCTTTGAGCCTTTAAAGTTTTAACGGGTCAAAGCCCCCATTCAGAGGCAGACGCTGTCAGTCACAGTTATGTTTTTGGTTGATTTACTGGTTTCTTGTTGAGAGGTGAGAAAGTAGTCTCATAGGGATTAAAAATAGGAAATGTTGGAAATGAAGTTGTACTTGCCCTTGATTTCCGTGATCTCCAGCAACACACCAGATCTTGTTTGTGTTTCATTGTATTAATTTTTCAAAATAGTTACAGAACGCTAGAGCTATGTCATCATTAAATAAAGTCACAATATAGAATGCTAATGTTCCATCTTTTAACTGTTTGCTTATGGACAGAAGATGCGTTTGGGGCTTTAAGCAGCCACGTAGCTTTCATGTGGAATTATGGCTAACTGCAGGGAACTTGGAGCATTGAATCTAATTTAGAGGGAAAAATAGGACCCTCAAGAAGGAAGTGCTTTATTTGTCCAAGAGCCTTCAGCTTGTGAATTCTAGAGAGAAGTAAAGGGTGGTGTATAGTCAGAATGATATTGCAAGGCTTAGATCCTGTCGGTCATATTTGAAAAAAGGAACAAACCCGACTTTGAGAGCAATTACTGATTTATTGTAACTGAGTTCTCTGTACTTCTTATTGCTGATAATTCAGCCCAAATTATTAAAATGTAAAGCCTTAATTATAAAGCTTATTAGGAATAGAAGAGCTGGCAACAAATAGATATATTTTAATCTGTAAGCACACCCTGTAGTTACACTCTGTAATTGGTGGATTTTCCTTGCTTTGAACTCTTTTCTTACCATAGTTTCTAGACTAAAATACAATTTACTTTTGAAAATGAATGAACTAAATGGAGAGTCGTTTTATTAAGACTTATATTAGAATAATCAAAACAGAGAGTTGTTTATTGCCGAACAGTCTCAGTGGATCCACCTAGGGGTAACATCGGATAAATGCTTACTAGTTCCTGGATAATTAAGTGAAATAAAGAAAAAAATATGTTACAATCATCTACACTGGAATGAACATAAAATAATAATGGAACTTTTTAATGGTCTATTTCCTGTATTGTTCTTATTCCAAAATAAAAAGAAATATTGCTAATGGGTGCAAAAGAGTAGGAACAACAAGCATACTCATTTATCACCTTTGTAGTGGTTTAATATGTATTCCAGAGTATAAATATTTAACTCATCTGCATCAAAAAGGTAATCTTGTGCCTAGCAGTCTATGGTTGCTTTAAGATCACAAAGTAGTTTATATCTTTTATATCAATTTAAAAGCAAATACTTTTATAAAGATTTTATATAAAGGTTCTTCTGAAGGGGAGACAAATGTTGTGGTGCTGCTGTTATGTTAATAATTGTCACAAAATATCTTCTTGATTCCTTAAGATTTATGCTTGACAAGATGGTAAAAACTTACCAATAACATTGAATACATTTTTGTAATTTCGTAAGGTCTCAAGTTTATTACTTTTTGGTAAACCAGTCAAAGTATAGCTTGTTGCCATCAGTTCCTAGTTAATGTCTCCATTGATTTTTAATTAGACACTGGTGAAATACCCCTACTTGAACCAGATGTGTTTTCTCCAGCCTCTTCTAAAACAGTCTCCGTGGAGCAACCATCAGAGCAGTGGCTGGGGTACTGGAAGCATGTCCTGGGGAACCATGCATGGCAGAGATCACCGCAGAACTGGAAACATGGGGCTTCCAGGAACTATGAACCAGATCTCGCCACTGAAGAAACCGTTTTCCGGTAATGTCATAGCACCACCGAAATTTTCTCGATCTACTCCGTCGCTGACTCCGAAATCTTGGATTGAAGACAATGTGTTCAGAACAGACAACAATAGTAACACACTCTTACCCTTACAGGTAAGAATGGAATGTAAATGACTGTTTCTCAGGTTACCCTTTGAAAGTAGAAAATTGGGTGATAGCAGTAGTGGCAGGAGAAAGTGAACAGATAATGAAAGGAAGTTCTAGTCTCTAAAGATAGAATCCTACTCTTAAAAAAAGATGCACTTGAACATGTGAAAAAAATCCTCTGAGTACGTCATTGAAATGAAGCTTGACTGTAGAAAAGCCTACTTTATTTCCTAATATATAGTGAAGCTTTTAATTGTCAGTGTTTTAAAAACCAATTTCTTGATTTATGCATCTTCTAATAGGTCATCAAGGTGCATTTCTCTTATAACATTGCTCAACTGAAAAGTGCCATAATTGCTTAATTGTGCATAGCCTCGATCAGCTGTACTTCTGTTAGCATGTGTGCCGGATACAGCTGTGATTATGGCAAAATAATATCAAAACTTTGAAATCAAACTCAGACTTGTCTTCACTATTTCAGTGACTGTCTTTTGTAAATGTCACCTTCATATGTACAGTGATTCAGTAAGAATAAACAGTAGGCCTTTTATATATTGACATTACAGTTGAAATTGCTATCACAGGTCAAATGTCCTGATGGCTGTTTCAGACGACGGCCCCTCCCCGCCTTTTTTTGCTCTAAAATCTTTAGCGGACAGAGAAAAGCTATATGCTAGAAAGAACTTTGATTAATTTTTCTGGTTTTGGTTTAGTGTTTTGTTTTTTGGGGTGTTGGTTTGTGGTTGGTTTGTATTTTTTGGTTTGTTTTTGGTTTGTTTGTCTGTTCTCTCTCTTGTGGGTGGGCTTGGGGAAGAGAACTGCTCCTTTCTGATGTAAACTTCTATGCTATTGAAGGTGAGATCTAGTTTGCAGTTGCCAGCTTGGGGCTCAGATTCCCTCCAAGATAGTTGGTGCACTGCAGCCGGAACATCCAGAATAGACCAGGTAGGCTGCACAGTGTGCGTTTTCCAGGATTTTGGCTAGGAGTTCAGTATTGATATTATGATTAGGATTTATTATGTACTGCCCAGCTATGCCAATGTTAGCATATGTCAGAGGACGTTAAAGCAGTTTATTTGACTTAAACTGTTGCGAATAGAACGCATTGTTTTCAAATTTAAAAGTAACTTTTAACCATCTAATACAAACATAGAAAATTTGTTTTTAGAAAAGGGAATTGATCAAACTTGGCGTTGTAAGAGCACCTGACTTTAAACATCATTGAGCTGAACAGATTTTATCTTCTTTTAGAATGACTTAGAAACAGTCATATGTCACCTGTACATCTCATCAGTGTTTTACACAAGTTTATATTAAATTTTTGTTGTGAAATCTGCTACTTCTAAATTACCTGCAGTTAAGCCTTGCCTTAATTGTGTTTTCCTACCTTTTATAAATATTTAATTGTACTGTATTTTCTTCATCCTAAATTTTATTACTGCTTTGATTTCTCTTCCAAAAAATTTGTTTTCTATGGAGTAACTAAGTAAAAAAGCTGAGTCACTTTTAATCAAATTATCTTCAAGCCCCGTGTGGTTACAAAATACGAACTACTAGCAGACTAAATCTAGGTGTGTCCTGGTTCCTGGGGCGAAGGTGCTCACAGAACAACTGGAGAGCCTGATCCTTTCATATGAGGCTTCTTTCTTACCAAGTTGAAAGAAGGCAACAGAAGAAGTGTGCTGAGTGGAGCCAAGGTCCCCTTAGTTCAAGTGTTCATTAGCTCATCGATATGAGATGGTTATTACAAATATAAGTGATTAGCATTTCAAGGAGCCCTGCTGGCTTAGTGCATTACCTGCTTTTCTTCTGAGAAAATGGTCAGTGGTTCAAATCTGAATGGCTCCTTCAAAGAGTGATGAGCTGTTTCCTCTTGTAAATATTTACGGGTTTAGAAACTCCCTGGAGGGTTGCAGTGAGTTGGAATGAACTCTGGATGGCAGTGGGGTTTTGGTGGATAAACAGCATTTGGATTCTAGAGGGCTAGCTAACTTATAATCATCCTCAGACAGCTGTTACAAAGAAGCCTTACCTGTCTATCTGAGTAGTCCTGTCAGGATCTTTACCTAGATATACTAGTTACCTTCTGTCATTCTCAGTTTATTGTCTTAATAGCGTTAGCTGTCAGTCTCTTTTCTTCTCTCTAATCTGGCCAGGTAGGCCCTATATTAACATTTTATGGTAGCACTATTAAGCTGTTCAAATGGAATACACAGATGCCTGAGTTGTTACACAAATGGGTTGTTAGAAGGGGGAAATTATTATTTTGGAAGATGGTGAGGGCATATTTTTGAAGAACATGAAATGATTAATACAAGTGTGTAGGCAGGAAGAAACAGCTGATTAATCTGCATGGAGCAAACACTCTGGAAAGATGAGAAAGCAGATTACTTGGCGTAAGGGTTCACGGGAGATGGGTGCAGGTGTTGAAAAATTAAGTTAGTGAAATGCTTGTAGGTGGTAGAGAGGCCTGTGGAATAAAGTTCTCCTGTTTGAACGTCAGCCAGACTCCTTCCCACCTTTATAGCCTGAGGTTTAGCACTAATACTCTTTTTAGGGAAAATTATTTCAGTGCTTACAAGTGTGTATGTGTGTGCCCCCACACGTATAGAAGCATATATACCTATGTGTATGTGTATACTTAGGGGGTTGTGTGGATATATAGTGAACGTTCCATGATCCCGGAGCGGACAAAACTAGGTTGCTCCTTGGAGGCAAGGACTGTAAAGTTCTGGCTCACATACTTTAAGCGTGTTCCTAGAAGGGGCCAGTCCTTGAGGAGGGACAGCACAATGAAGACGACCTTGAATGAGATGGATTGACACAGTGACAATGGTGGTGGTGGTGTCAGACAGTGCGACTGGCTCAGAATAGGGCCGGGTTCAGAGCTATTACTGTTCACAGGGTCACTATGAGTTAGCGTCGGCTCGATGGCACATAACAACAACAACATATACACACATACATGCATAATTGCTATGTAGCCATGTCTGTCTGTCTGTCTCTGTCTCTGTCTGTCTGTGTCTCTGTCTGTCTGTGTCTCTCTCTCTCTCTCTCTCTCTCTCTATATATATATATATATATATATATATATGTACAAATACAAATATGTATGTATGTATATATAATCCTTATATCTGAGTGTTGGAAATAGTTAAGCTCATGATGACTGGTAGTTCTGATCCATCCAGAGTCACCTAGGAAGATGGGCATGGTGATTGGCTTTGCTTTGAAAAGATCCTAACTTAAGAACTTTCCAGAATACAGATCTAGTCTGCAACACAAAGTAGATGTGTGGAGGTCATCATGAGTCAGAGTCTTCCACAACAACCAGCAGCGGATAAGGAAACACAATTAATGTAAGCAGGCACACACAGCTACACTTCTTTATATTTTGTTTTGGCAAATTACTGATATTCTGACATCCCCTGTGGATTCTTGGACAGAACTTTGAAGACAGTGGTGAAAGAGATTTAGTAGAAATTGGTAGAAACTAGAAAGAAAGGGTGTTGAGACCTGGTTCTTCTTCTTTGTCCGTGGACATCTTTGTGACATTGGATGAGATGGGTTTGGGACTTTCATCCCTGTAGGTTTATTTGTAATAAAGAGAACTAGGCCAGCTCCATCTCATCTGGTCTCTTGGTCTTTTGACCCCTTCTCCCTCCTATTTCCTTCTCTCTTCACCCCCCCCCCCCCAGTTTTAGAATGCCAGGGCCTTGGATTTTTGAGGTAAAATGTCCAAGGTTTCTGTGAGACTTCCCAACTGGTCTTAGAAGCATCCTAAAGGTGCTCATTATAAATAATTTGTTCTGTGTTCCAATCTTCCCATAAAAGGTTGAGGTATTTGAAGCTGTGGTTGTTAAAAATACAGCAGCAACTACAGACTGGGATTGGTATCTTAAAACTCTTAGGTAGTTCTTCATATTTTATAAAGTTCAAATTATAGACAGTGCTTCAGCTCCTGCATGTCTGACATGTTTTTATTTGTGACCTTTTATCACATGAAAGCATTTTAATATTAATAATTATAGTTAGTGAATATGTTATTTTAAAGCACTAAACTTTTTCTATCTTAATCTCAAGGTCACTAGTCCTGAGAAAAGATTAACTTTTTAGAACTAAAAGTCTTAATTCTCAAACCTGGACACTTTAGGCTCCCTATGCCAAGAGCTGGGTAAATTAATGGAAAAGAGGTAATGTTAAAGGTTGGTTTTATTTCCAGTATCTGTAAAATTTTGTGGATTAACATTTTAAGTAAACTGTCTTTATAATGGACAAATTTAAAATTTTATAAAAACACAAGAGTAACTTGTGATGCACAGTTCTCATTTAGAACTTCAAATTAAGGTCAGGATTTGTTTACAACTGCCAGCTACATTCCCTTAGAAGAAATCAAGCTCACAGTGTGAATTCTAATTTAACCTTAAGATGGAATTTTTAGTTAGATGCTTGACTGTTGAAATCAAAGAATAAATGTACTATTAGCTGAGGATGTTATTGTTTCCAGCTGTACTTGTAAACCAAGCAATGCCTTGTCTTTACCCACCCACCACCTTAAAAGTGTGACTCCTGGCCGCCCTCCATTGGATTGCAGAGTTTTTCTCTTTAGAGGTGGTCTCTTTCACCTTCAGATCAGCAAAGGGACCTAACTGCTGCCCTGCTGATAAGCAGCCAACATGCCTTTAGAAGAGTATTGTAATGTGTAAAACCATCTAAGTATGCACCTCGACTTGTTTTCAGTTTACATTGAGGGTCTGAGCTCTCACTTTTCGGCCTGCAGTGCTTGAACATGCCCCATAAGCACACTTGGATTCGTGGAAGCTTTCATTCCCAAGCCTTTATGATACTGCTTATAGAAGAAATGATGATTTAGGTATCTCCGCTCTAAAAAGAACTTTAAGCCTTGATTCACCTCACATAAAAATCAGTGTATAGTGGCAGGCCAGCTCCAGTTTTTCAGTTCACAGAGCATACCTTTAGTTCATGGATGATCTTCAGGGCTGGACCTTCTGGGGAGTGGGGAGGCATAGGGCCGCCATCTGACTGTATCCTCTCCTACTCACAGGAGATCATGCTGAGGGCTGCAGGAGCCACTGGGCTCTGCTGTTTGTGTTCAGTCAGTAGCCGCTTTCTTTTTAAGTCGCCATCCTGTTTGCATTTCTTTGTTTTCATTTGCTACACTCTTGTCCCAAGTATTTTCCTCATTGTCATTGAGTATAGACTAGCTTTGGCCCTTTGGGGTCTGCTTTTTATTTGTTTGTTTATTATGAATTGTTTTTACCTTCTGAATGAGTGTCATAGAGCTTTGTTGAGGCTCCAGAATAAATGTGTGCATTGTGTCTAGTATTTTAGTTACCCTGGGGATGCAGAAGGGAAGCCTTTGAGAAGCTGGAGGGCCCACTTGGGGACTAAGGGGTGTACACGTGAACCAGCTGGGGAATGATGTAAAAGAGTGTGAGATTGAGTTGCTGCATTGTGTAACAGCATCATCGACACGGGCCAGTAACTGTGTAAGTGGGAAAGGTTAATCGGGATTTACTTAAAATTAGAGACAAGAATAGCACAACTTTATTGGAGAACTAAACACAAACACACTAATATTTCTACTTTGACAGAAAAATAACATATTCAAGTATCTGTTATATTTGTAAATAAGAGAACATTGAGTTTTTTCTGTAATCCATTTTTTTCTTCGACAGAGCATTTGGTTTTCTGCTTGACCACTTCTTTCAAAGTACAGCAGAGTTTTTTATAAAGTCAGTAATAAAATATCAAAAAGCTCACTTTTAATGAATTAACTTCGGGCTCCCTTTATCAAGTTGCTGCTTGGATGTGTTAATTTTGATAGTGAACTTTGACCCTCTTAGTTCTGTTTTGTCATTTAGAATCTATTCCCTTAGATATTTATTTCAAGATTAGAATTACGCTGTCCCTTTCTTAAAGAA